GGCATAGATATATATATATATATATAAGTAAGAGGTCTAGATTAATATTTATATTTCGAGGTAATGGTATAGGAAGTCATATTATTAAGATTTTGACGCGTTGTTTTACGAAAATATATTGTGTATTTGTCTTTTAGTATTGAAAATTCGGTATTTAATTCTCTAAAATCGAATAAATATCTTCTATAAAATCTCTTTTCTCGATATTAAAATTTCGGAAATTTTATTACCGCGAATATGTCGTAAAATAATATTTAGAAATTTTATGATTATGAAATATATTTGTCGAAAATTATGGATTTTTTATTAATGGCATTTCTTATATCGTAAGATTATTTTAAATTTTTATAATTTCGAAATTTTGGCGTCTATAAAGAAATTCGTACAAGAAGATAAATATATAAGAAATTTTCAAAAAGAAATACGCGAAAAATAAAATTATGAGAGCGAGATACAGATATATTAAAAAAGAGATGATTAAGACAATCTTATTTTATTAGATAATTTAATAATATTTATTAATGAAAAATATAATTTCGTATAAAATTTATTTTAATATTAAGAAGAAATTTAGAAGAAATATGAAAATTAATTAAATAGAATTATAAATGAAAAAGAAACGCATATCTTTCTTGCAATCGCGAAGAATTCATAAATTTGATGCAAATACGATAGCGCATTACGAGCGTGTCCACGTACAACGATTGAATTCTGATTTTTGAATCTCTGTTCTGAGAATTTCTATAATGTGCAGGCTAGGACCGACTTTCTCTCTTTATCTTGCTCATGCCTCATTGATATGCCTATACAAATAAGGGGCATTCTTCTTGCCGGCCTGGAGGGTTGGCTCTACAGTTTATGTCGCCGCGTGCCGGCCTGGAGGGCTGGATTAGGCTGATGAACAGATTGAGAAACGGCAGGCAACAAACTTGGTGGAGTGAGCCCCTCGGTAAGTAGATACCCATATAATAAGACCCCCCTGTAGTCTCTGTCTTATGTCGACTCATACTGTAGCTGGGAATAGCACTTGCACCTTCGGCACTTTGTTGTGCCGTACTAATCATCAGACGGCGATTTGAGATTTCCTCTCCTCTCCCACACAAACCTGTAAGGAGATTCTAAGAGTGAGGTGAAGAGATTAATTTTGGGTTACGCCCTGCCGCCCTGCCCCGCCATATTTTGGGTCGCCTGCTTCGCTGTCCTACTTGCCCCCGACTCTCCCCTTGAGAGGACCCTGGGCCCCGGAGGATTTTTTCTCCCTCTGTTACTGCCCCCCTCCCCCCCCTAATAGTTACAGCTATGCCCTAACCTGCCGCCCGCAGCCATGGTAACCTCGCCACGTGAATGGATCCTGGTTGTTATCACGACTGAGCTGGTTGTCATGGCCTTCAAGGGCAGTATATAAATTGCTTCTTTTTTCAATACGGGCTTCCCTCCTATCGGACCCACACTGCTTGCTGTGCTGCGGCGGCCAATGATGACTGCTCTACGATTGGTCAGGATACGGGCTGACTGGGGTCCAATGTCTCAGCTCAGTGCTCGAGCCCATCAGGCACACTCTTGGGTGCTCCTTGCGCGGCCAGAGTCGCTGCATTACTCCAGACGAGCTGACAAAGAACTCATTTGGTGTTGTACCCAGGTCAGCATGAAGACTTCAATGAACAAAGGTAGTTATAGCCCTGACAATCATGGTCCGAACCTCGCGGGCATGGTCTAAGATCTCATTACGTTCCTCCCGTATCTAAGAGAGAAAAGCCCGTAGAAGGTAGATTATACAGAGAACTCATCTCTTCGAATTACAGATGGAATTCTAATATAACGCCCCTGCCTTCCGGTATTTTGCCTATAAATACTGACAGGTTCTGAATACTTTTACAAAACATGTAATCATATCTCGTGGCCGTTCAAACTTGTTCATGTAAAAGAGTAATTTTTAAAGGACGCCTATATTATGAAAATCACCCGACTTAATATATAATTACTATCGGTCACAAGCAGTTATATTTATCTTGTCTTTATTATACCATATTTTTTAGCTTTTTTTCCTATAATCAATTATATGACTTTCACAATGCCGGGGTAATTATATATCATAATAACAATCTCAGACGCCTTCATCCATAAATTAAAATTCTATTTATTATCATATTATTAATCTTTCTAATATTATATATAGAATATATATATATATAAGAAATCATACGTATTCATTTATCAATGAAATTAACATATTATATCATATTTTCTTCGAGTTATCTTTATCCCTCTATTTTTCAATTAATAAATAAATATAATAAATAAATAATAATATCATTTATTTTAGTCGTCTATCTTATATCAATTTTATCCAATAGACCAGAAATTAAAAATCCAATATTTATAATATCTTATTTTTTTCCAAATTAATATCAATATTTATCGACAATTCATATTTCTAGCACTCGCTATACAATTATATCGAATAAAAGAATATATCTTTATATTTATCGACGATTTTTGAAAATAAATTTCATTCATACTGGTATCTTTAATATATCGGTTACTCAACATAGAATCGAGTGGAATATTGAATTTCAGATTTTAATCTTTGCAATCTATGTCCGTAATATTCCGAATCAATTAATATTAAGACGTTATTAATCCGAATTTTGCAAAAGTATTCCTACGGCGCATCTGAAATTCACAAGAACGGAGCTCAAATTTGCCCTGTAAGCGGGTAGGGAAAGCTTCATAATTTGCGACACAAGTTCGTGCTAGCATGCTGTAGCGTGCTCCCTCGGGCTTGTTGTCCGAGAGACCATCAAGGAAAAGCTCATCAAGCTCAGTAAAATCTTGAAAGGTTCTGTGTTTTTCGTATGCCAGCTACCAGTTGCCTCAGTGAAAATCATTGGTATGCATGTATATCTAAGAACTCACTATGTATACTTCGATAGTCTAGCGGTGGTGGCGGCGACGAAAGTATCAACCAATGATCTCAATTAATTACAACCACGACGGTGCACGACAAAAGACGATGACCACGAACGATGAAAATGAACTTGACAACAGACGCCAACGACATTATGATTTGATATCGATCGTGCCCTCTCCAAGTTTGGTGGTTCAGAGAATCCTGGTCGGCGTCATAGCCATATGCTTGAACTTGTACTTTAAATGTACTGTGATGCTTGACATCATCCATACGCATCGAAGACTCACCGTCAAGACGCCAACGAAACGATTCTACATATTGGAAATCCAGAGGTTTCATTGTCTGCGCCCTGTCTGGCTTTCTAGATTCTAGATCAATGTGGGTATTGCTATGATTTGCAGCTCTAGGCAAGCAGCCCAATGGCTTCATGCCAGATCCATCTCCTTACTTCCTGGAGGTGAAGCGACAGTTGCAGTGCCTTTTTGTTCACGTTACCTGCCACCACCAGACACCGTCCATCGCCAAGTTGATATATGTACCATCCTGAGCGGTGTTTGGCTTACAAGTGCTGGAGTATGCCCAAACTCGTCTCCTACCTCACAATGTCAGGAAGAAGTAGACAACGTTTAATGGAGCCTGCAGCTTCTTTCCCGCAGCCCTGAAAAGCCTTATATGATCTTGTATTATACTATGCTACATTCTATCATATATGTTAAATTATAGTATACTATATCAAATTTTATGATACCATATTACATTCTACAGTTTTGGGTTGAACGCTTATATCGTGCTACATTATGTTAACCTCTACTCTATTCTGGTATCTTACAAGCTATATCGTCATGTTACATGTTGTTATCTGGTCTTAGCTTGTCTTATCCTATCTTATATTACATTGCATTACATTACATTATAAATTATACTATATAGTGCTATTCTATATCATGACATGCTATATCATGCTATGATATACCATGCCATACTTTATGCTATTATACTACATTATAGATCACACTATATTGTGCTACATGTTATATACTATACCATTCTACTCTGTCCTAGTCTATAACACTACATTATGTTACGCTATATTTTTATACATTGTACTACTATAGTGTATTATATTACATTATATACATTCCCTGTGTGCCTTCGGCTCCGGGCAAAATGGCCCTCCGGGCTTGGTCTTGGGCTCCATGGTTTGCAGCCGAGGAGCCGTCATCATTCTGTACTCAGAGACTGCCCATAGTAATGGTGGATGCCTGATTATTTGATTCTTGAACTTGCTTTTGTGTTTAATGTTCTAAGCATTCTCGATTTCCTAGGCCGTGAATCGGCTCATCAACGGATTCGACAACGGGGATCTGTCATCTCGATGCGTGTGCATGACCCACAAAACTTTGCACAAAGCAGGCAGCCATAAGTCTCAGAGTTCAAAGTTGCACGAGTCTCTGCATCCGAACCCGCCGCTCAACCCTCAGTCCTTTGCTTTTCGACATGATCTATCGGTACCAGCATGTTGCCATTGCCCAAGGAGTTGGTGTCCACAAAGATTTACACTCACGAGTAGATCTACTATTCCGCTTTGCATCTGTCGACCTGCATACCTACCTACCTTTCAGGACCTCTGTAGACTAGCAGCGCGGTACCAGGTCGGGGAAGGTCCTCAAAACAAATCAGCGTTGGAGGTTCTCAACACATGATGCGTTATATTACTATATTGTAATATATACGATACTATGATATTGTGGGGTCGCAGGGCGCCTGCACAACTTCGCAAGGTTATGAAGCTCAGGTCATGCGCGGAGTCAGCAGTCTTTTGGGGCATCTGCTGTTCACCGCCAGTCTCCTTAATCTAGCAGCGTCGATGGCGAGCGAAGGAGATATAGCATCCCGGCGCGGCTTCCAGCTACTTCGCCTTACATGCTCAGCCCTAAGTTACGGCAGCGCCTCCCTGGAGCCAATGATCAGCAACCGAAGCAACTTGGACTTCCTTCGAGTCGCTGCTCCCGGGATGCATGAAGTAGCCTATGCGACATCACTGTATTGTAGTCTGAGCAACCCTAAACCCTAAACCGAACCCGATGGCCTCACAGTGAAGTCGTGCCCAGCGATGATGCCGCCTTTCTTCACGCGCGACTCCCAGAGATGAAGGTCCTTGCAATGTCTGCTTAAGACGAACCAGAAGACTCACAAGACTCATACGAAAACACAGGATAATGATCATCATCCTCATCATAGTACTAGCACTAACACTAGTACTAGCACCAGCACTAGGCCTAGTCCTAATATTATTACTACACAAATACATAATCATCTTAATACTCAATACTCATAATAATCATTATAATAATTATCGTGATGGGCATCATAATGACAAGAAGCCGCTAGAACTAACACTTCCCTCGCAAACGATGTTCCGAAGAGGAGCGGATCACTTGATCGGGGTTTCCGCTTCGCGAGGGAGCTCGCGTCAAGGCTTCAGGTGGGGCTCCAGGCCTTGGAGCTGACTTTTGATGGCTTTATACCTTCTGAAGTGAAGAGCAATTGTAACATGTGCGGCTTCTAGAAAACAATTGCCCTGCGGCATGCAAACCTGTGGTAGTTGAGGCCTTTTGCGAGACAGTTCCCAACACGGTCCTCAAGGGTGAGCGCTAGGTAACATGACCTGACATGTTAAACGCCTGGAGCAAAGCCCGTTTTCGGCAAGGAAATGATCCTGAATGAGACTGGTCGAAGGCTGAGTCCGCTAAACCCCCAAACCCGAATTGGGGTTTAGGGTTTAGCGTTTAGGATTTAAGGTTTAGGGTGCTTAAGGCAAGGAGCGTTTCTCACATTCGCATAGGTATGGGGACCATCCACGAAAACGATGTCCATGGGCTCCGCATCTGCCAGCCTGAGTCGTTGGCCAAAAGTGTCCGGTTTTGGGGAAAGGGGTTGAGGGAGTTAAGGTTTCGGGCTTCGGGCTTTAAGGGTTTAGAGACTTAGTGTTTAGGGGTTAGGGTTTTCGGGGTCCGGGGTTCAGGGGTTTAGGTTTAGATCACAAGGATCAGTTCACAAGGATCAGTAAGTCAGACCCGATAGGCCAGGACCGACAGGAACGGGGTCGACCGGGGTACTGCTACGCACAACATATACCCTGAACCCTAAAGGGCGTACAGTGAAGATAGGGGACTTGCATCAGAACCACCAATCCCACGCGCGACAAGAAGAAATCTGAGCAGAAAAACCGAGAAAGTCCGGGCTTCCTTGATCTTCAGGCTCCGAGCTACAAAATTGGACCCTCCCGCATACTAAGGTGGTGGATGACGCCTACGGGCCCACAAATTCAATGACAAGCTCAAGTCACCTCAAATCAGCTGCTGGAGAGGGATGCCTGTGAAACACTCCAAATACGAAACCTCAGCCCTCAAACCCGTGCAGTGAATGTGATTATCTGTTATATCTATCTATCTATCTATCTATATTTATATCAGTTTACTAGATCTTGACCGCTCGAGAACTCGCTGAACAGCCAACGATCGCACACAATCGTTTTGTGCGACTGCAACGTGGGAACCCGAACATCTCGGATCTTCAACATTCCGAACGGTGCTCCGATCACCGGAGGAGCGCACCAGATAGCTGGCGATCGCTCTGCATTCATCCGAACGAACATATCAGACGAGATATTCCAAGCGAACTGAAAAGAAACGCGAGGATCTAGAAGTCGTCGCTCGGATCCGTAAGCGAATCCGAAGCAACTTCGATCGGCTCTTCAAGAACGGCATCATGCCGAAGCGTAGCGAAAGCCTTGAGCTTGGGCCGCCGAGCACCGAGCGGAGCGGGATTGGGGCTTTCCACACTCGGAACCGACGAGAGCTGAGGATCGGCAGCCTGGGACCTGCCTCCTCGACCCTGCTCCACGAAGTCTGGCTTCTGGACCGCGAAGGGAGCTGCGGAATGGATCAACTGGAGGGAACGAAAAGGCTGGTAGGATCTAGTCTGTTCCCACGCCGACGATCGAAAATCCGGGCCGATCGGCTGATCGCCAAAATGGCCACGGATAAAGTGATCACGGCTGTTCTTACGGTCTGTAAACTGAACTCAGAATGCCTATATACGCACCACACCGAAAATTAAGAGACATGATGACAATAATGAATATACATAATTCATAAGTACGAGTATATATTTCCACCAAGCCCTGTAAAACCTAAGGCCGAGGCCCTTAAGGCACATGCTTTCGGTGCCTTGAGCTGAAGTTCTTCAGCCAGGCTACCAGAGTCAGGCCGCACAAAGCCACACACCTCTGCCTCCAACCCTGAAGCCCAAACTCCTGTAATAGGAAAGTCCTATCTCTTTATACAGAAAAGAACGGCCCAGCAGCGCTTGATGCATCTCTTCACTCGTTGTGGCGTGCAGCTCCGCACGCGCGGCATAGGGCCTCGGCACTTTTGTGCTTGGTTTAGACAATTACGTCTTCAGAGCTTGATGACTGTAGGGCTTCAGGGCCACACATTGCAAGCTTGACAGATCATTACTGGCAGTACGGGCATGTGACAAGAACCACGATGATGATCATGATGGTCTTGACTGATGATAACCGCCAGCGAAGGAAGACACTAAGAAGCTGATCGTTCTGACTGAGGGGACAAGACTGATAGTAGCGATTCTGGGTAATGATGGATGATATCATGACCGGAGTCGTAGGTAGGACTTCTGAGCCAGTGTCTCAAACAACGGCAAACATTGCTGTGGCCCCTCACCAAACCAGCACGACCAAAATCGTAAAGCCATGGCTTTTCACGAAACGGTGAAGCAGAATGACTTTGTGAATTGGTGGTTTCGTGGGGCATTGAATGGGGTGTCCATTTAAATCAGACCCTACCCTTTCAATGCTTTGAGGGGCACTTCACTAAAACTCGCAGCCATTGCATCGGTTTCTGTACTCAAAACAGCCTCCTCGGGCACAGCTCATGGTAGCACCTTTCTTGGGGGTTCGGGATGCCATCTTGACGATTTCTGGTGCAGCAGTGCCCATGGTCCTAGCAAGTGTTGCTTACTTCGTGGCTTGATTTCTGGGGTTGCCATGTACAGGCTAAACCCAGTGTGTAACATGGCTTACCCGTCCTACCCCACATCCAATCTTCCGAAAAAATAGACATGCAGGCTTACAATGGTAAATTGCTGCGGGTGCCATGTTCAAAAATGGCTTGTAACTCCGTTGCTCTGTTGCTCTAAAGCTACGTAAAGAATGTGGTTGAAACTTTTATAGTCCTTCTCTTCGTCTATCATTTTCGCTATGTTTCAATAGGCTTGTTGCCGCCGCCGCTGCTGCTGTTGTTGTTGTTGCTGCTGTTACTGCTGCTGTTGTTGCTCCTGCTCCTGCTCCCATTGCTTTGGTTGTTGTTTTGCTTCTTGGTCGATTCTTGGTGCTGAGGCTGTGCTTCTGCTAAGGTTCATGCTCGTCCTCTTGTCGCTCTTGCTCTGGGCCGTATTGGTGTGAGTTCTGTTGTCGTGGTGGCAGCAATTCTGAGGCAATTATTCAGTATTTAGGCTTTAAGGTTGAGGTTCAGGTTCAACCGGTGTACAAATGGGGATTTGGGATTGTAGATGCAGGGTTCTGTGCTTAGGCACCGTAACAGAGCCCTTACCTCAAGCTCCCTGACTCTCCGCACAGACAGCTTGAAAACCCAAAATACCAGTTTCGAAATCCCACCCGAAACAAAGCTCGTCTGTGAGTCTCCGACGAGTATGCCTCCCTCACCTCGTCCTTGATCGTCGGATCAGCGCCGAAGTAGCGGAGTTGTGGGAAACGCGCGAGCAAATGGAGGCCTCTGAATCAAAAGTACTCGAAATGATGATAAACATGTACAGAACATGGTGGCCAAAACTGAGCGAGAGGAAACATCTCGTCTAGTCTTTAAGACTTTTCTGTTTGTGTGTTGCCTTCAGGGCTTTACTTTCAGAAAAGAGTGCATACATGGGAGGGCGGGCCTTGTGCAGTATATCCTCCAAACGAATAGACATGAAAAAAATGTCATACCTGGGACATGCTACACCCATGTGACAAGGTAATAGGTAGCAAATGGGACATGCCCACACACCAAGACATGTCAGGAGACTACATCCTAGACATCCGGTGTTTCAATTAACGCGGGGCTTGTCGGAATAAGTGTCTATGAGAACCCTAATTCTTCTGGATTGTTTGTCGTATGGGATTCACAACAGGATCCATGCTTGAGTATGAGTGATATAACACAGGGGCTTTATGAACAAAAACGAGCAGACCTAGAGCCACTCTTCCTTCATAACTCCCCCTGATGTTGATAGGATGAGTTGAAGCCACAAGGTGTCATGGAGAAGCTACGCAGACATGCGTAGGGCAATGTGGTTTGTATGACAGGCATGCACCACCACAACATTCAGGCTTGAAGTTAAGATGCCAGGCTGGTCCTGAACAGCAATACTGAAAAGCTGGAACTTTGGTTCGCCCAGCCTGTATGGTTGATGTGCACAAGCGTTACATACATGTTGGCTCGCAAGTTCCATAAACAATGCCAGTTAACTTGAAACAGTTAAATGAAATACGGTGCGCGCACACACACATATGAAAAACACATACCTCTGATCTATCATATGTGGCTGCATGCTGAAACCATATCTTCTGGATTCAATGCGGACATACTCTAAACTCGTATTACGTGGATACACATATCCCTGCATCATCATTTGGTATTAACATAGTGAATTCTACTCATGGTTTCAAACAAATGCTACAAAAATGCTTGCAAGGAAAAAAACCTAGTATATGGAATGACGGAAACCGATTCAGTACAAGTTGGTTTGGAGCTGAATGCATTTACAAGTGTTTCAGCACCCTTCTATTTCAAGAGTGATTTTCGCTATTATACACGAGAAGACACTGTAAATACGGGGCCCCCAGGGCGTCCCACCCTCTTTACTTTATGTGTTGTTATGACATATGCAGTGGCCAGGTATGCCTGTATGTGTTCACACACACACCCCTGCATCAGTACGTATATATATATATACTTATCTATCTATTTATTCATGTCTTTATTTATTCATTTATTTATGAACACGCTCATGTTCATGCTTACAGGGCCGAGCCCGTGTTGGTATTGAAACAAGCTTCAACATCTGACCGCCCCCTTTGCTGGCCAGGCGACCCATGGGCCCACAGGCGACACCCAACTCGGCCATGCGAATCTCGACATCAGGCTGACCTATCAGTTTAGGATTTAGGGTTTAGGGTTGATAGGCTGACCTGTCATTAGGGTTAAGGGTTAAGGGTTGATAGTTTGGCTGCTTCTTGAACATCAGCTTTCAGCATATTGGTTCACAGCCATCAGCTTGCAGTCATTTTTTGTGCGGGGGCTTCTGGCGAACCCAAAGCCTGAAATCATGCTGGCAAAGCTGAAGCATGGAGTGCATGGGATGGGCTCAGGAAGAATGAACCCTTAAACTGCTTTCCTTGCCTTTCTGCTTCTCCAGGCCATCCAGCAGGCGTTCGAGCACGTCGAAATGCCTGCACACATGTGGGTCTACTACACAGCCTTCCCTCATCATCCAAGTCCGACGCGAAGACGACAACCTCAGACACCCCTAAAGTAGCTCGCAGGTGTATCTATCAGGTGGGCAACATAGTGATATAGCGAACTCATCAGCTGCGCATGCTATGCGACCTGCCCATTCCACTTTGCCGAGGAGAAACTGCTGCCTGCCGTAGAAGCGCGTCTGAAAACGATATGTAGGCAGCTGGCTCCTGAGTTCGACGTCATTCTGTCGGATGCAGGGTGGCGGATCGTGCCAGTGGAGCCTTTGTGAAACTTTTGGGACCTCAAGCCTTGCGGATTTCAACCGTAAGCTGGTCCCCAAACTCTAAAATCCTAAATTCGAAGCCCTAAACCCCGAAAGGCCCAGTCTCTGGATGTTGGGATACACATCGGAGAGCTCCAGAGCCAGCTGCTTCAGCCCCCAGATGGTCCGTGAATGCTCCATGACCTTCGTCTTCGAAATGAAGAGGTACGGCCCTTGATTTTTAGAATAGGGCTCGGGGGAGAAAGCACTCTTTCAACAAGAAGCCTGGTGAGGAATAGCACTAGTAGTGTAGGCCCCTATCTTGGAGTTTGGGCCGTTTGTAGCTTGATTGGAAGCCGGCCCTCCAACTTGCAGAGCTCAAGGTGAGACAAAGACCAGGCTTCCGCCCGTAAGGGGGGGTCGGGAAACTCCGTGAAGACTGGAACAACCGACACTCTCTTTAAGTCTTTGATTGTCTTTCAGGCTTGTGGATTTTGAGATGAGGCTTCGGGTGTTTTGCCCTGAGACCCGGAAATCAGCCGCAGAAACAAACTAACAGCCCTAAACGCCCTGAAAAACCACAAAAAAAACCTAAACACCCTTAACAAAACCACTTAAAACAAACACCCTATTAAAAACACAACAAAAAGCCCAAAAAGAAAATCCACCCCCAAGAAAAAAACCCACACCCCGAAGCCTGGCGTGCCAGGATCCCGAGCTCCGTGGCCAGGCGAGCCAGGGCGGCATCCGCCCCGAAATCCGAAGCCAGGGCTTGGAGCTCCTGCTCAGGGCTCTTTTCTTTTTTTGTTTTAAGGTTTGGGTCCTTCTTTTTTTTTTTGATTTTTTTTTTTTGGGGGG